AACTGCCTAAACCCTAAACCCCAAACCCTGAATCCCTAAACCCTATAAATAAGTTTAGAATTTAGGGTCTATAGAGGCTCTAAACCCCTAAATTCTACCCCAAAAGCCTATTTTAAAGCCCTAAACCCTGAACCGCCAGACCTTCATAGCCTGAGGGTCGAAGACTCCCGGGGGTTTGAATCCCAGTAAACCCCGAGTCCTATAAACAATTGCATAGTCATACGGTTTAGGTTTTTGTTTTTTTCCCTGGGGTTTGGGATTTAGGGTTTAGGGTTTAGGGTTTAGGGTTTGGGGCTTCGGGTTTGGGGCTTAGTTCAGGGTAGTGTACACCAATCCGGAATGACGGAGGAACTACCCATAGGCCGCTAAGTAGTTCCCTTTTGGGATTACCTTATAGGATTCAACATATAAGCCACAAAAAGAGAACTACTTAGGGGCCTATAGATATACACCATGTAGTGTACGCTACCTGCTATCTGCTGTCTACTATGTACTGTACAGTATATGCAGTGTTGTTGTATATGTTACATCTTCTAGATCTTATTGTATATGTATATGTACATATCTAGACAGTGCATGATATACAGTACAGGCTGTATCATCTGTTTGATATTCTAATATACATACATACATACATATATACATACATACATACATACATACATACATACATACATACATACATGTACATGTACATGTACATGTACATGTACATGTACATGTATATGTATGTGTATATGTATGCTATATGCTGAGCTTCGGGTGTGAAGGCCTGTTGTCTCCGGTCTGGCGCGGGCTGCGCAAGAGCATCCAACGTGTCCATGTTTGAATTATAATATGCCTTATATGACCCCCAAGGTTTAGGGTTTAGGGTAATATGCCTTACAAGGCGGTTGGGCCTCCCGCCGCATGCAACTACAAGCAACAGCATGTGTGCTATGCATCACCATGATGCCTCCCAGCAAGTCTCTCTTAGGGACAACACTGGCTTTATAGATTGCAGAACATGGCTCCGCTATGTGAATGATACAAAATGTAGACTCTCGTAGGTTGGAGCTAAGTATAGACCATGTTACGGCGCTGACTACTGCTTTCTTCAAAGTCCATCGCCTGGCTGTTCATAAGCTCTCTCTTCTCGGGTGATTAGAAATGCCTGCACACCCCCGCAAGGCCAGCTCCTCCTTCTCAAACGGGCAGTATCAGTCGTCTATGTGATACGCCCGAAGTCGGACCTGCCCGCGCAAATCAGACTCTGACAACTCCGACTTACCACATTTGTCGGGATTGGGTTTGTGGGAATTGCATGTGATCTTCCTGGGATCTTGCATCACCCTCTTTTGCAATTTGGGGAATGCGCATCTTGCAGGCACCTGTCCGGCCTTTCCGCCGTCTGATACGCAACCGAGTCCGGATGCCCGGTACCCCACTCCTTCGCCGCGCAGCCGAAAGGTCCTTTATCCTTCATGCAGTTCCATGCCTATGTCCTCAGTCCTTCCAATGCGGAATTGCAGATATACTCATCACCAATCCATGTTGGGACTTTTTGGGAAACGCCAATTCCCGAAGATTGCAGCCTTCCCCCCCCCACCCCCCATGAGAACGAGGCGAAACCTGAAGCTAGCAATATGTGGGGCTTAGGCTTTGGGGGTTTTTGGGTTTAGGGCTGGCAAGTCGGAGTACTCGTCACTGGGGGCCACCACAGCTCATTGAAGACCAGGAGAGGCATGCAGTCTGGGGTGGTCATGGCTGGAGGCGGGGACTTGGGGACGTATCACATGGTACTACATGATATAACCCTAAACCCTAAAAACCCACTATATTCTGTTATATTATCCGATACCCGAAACTCCAAAACCTAAGCCGGCTTGCCTTGGCACCGAGCTTGGTCGTTGTATTGAGGCTCCTGATGCACGCGTCTCGGTGGGCGGGCTGCTTTGCTGATCCTAAATGCGACTTGGATAGCCTTCCGCCATTATCGCTACTGCAATCAGCATCTGTTTTTCATTAATAAGTAATCAGAAAACATTAGCACCCCTGACGAAAACAATTCCTGAACATGCTGGCATCCTTCTCCAAGTAGCACCACCACCACCACCACCACCACCACCACCCCCGCCGCCACCACCACCACCACCACCACTACCACCACCACCAGTACCACAACGACTACCTCTACTACTATTACTACTGCTACTCTTGCTGCTGGTGCTGCTGCTGCTACTGCTGCCGCTGCTGCTACTACTACGACGACGAAGACGACGACGACTATGACTACGACCAATGTCCGCTACGACTACTACGACGGCTATGACTGCAAAAAAAAGTGTCATTCTGACTGTTTAGCTGACATGCAAGCCACGGCGGGCCTGGCTCTCCAACTGCGGGGTCTGCGCTTCGGAAACCACTTGTGGCTGTAAGCCTTGTGCCATGTCTGGTCCTTGTCACACGGGGTGGGGGTTCGGGGGGTGGAAGCTCATCGCCATAGTCGGGCTTTCTGCTGCGCTGTGTGGTTGCATGGCTTAGAGTTAGGAGCTTGGGGTAAAGGCATGGGTTCAGGATCTTTGCAAGGCTCCTGCATCGTCCCAATATAATACACAACACTGCTTGTGAATCTGTGGGTTCTAGAGTTCTAGCTCTCCTCCAAAAGCAGGATGCAACCAAAGAGCCCCGTTAAATCCTTAAAGCCCTAGGCCGAAAAACCCGACCCCCTCGACCCCTCAGGCGACCACCCATGTGGCCCGAGATACACCGCGGACTCAGTGATTCGCCGTCCTCGAGCTCCTGCAGCTCTCAATGCTCCCAGCTTAGCTATCCTTTTTGTTAAGGGTTTTCAGGTTTGAAAATGACTGAACGGCTCGGACCTTTACGGGGGGCTCATCTGCTTTTTGTGCAGGGCTCGGGCCGCTTTTGTTTGCCTCCTGCATTCCTCGACTGCACTTAGGGAAGTTGGGGGTTTTCTCTTAATTAGGGAGGGCAAAGGGAAGATTCATCCAGGGCAACTCGGAAACGGAAATCCGAGACTGTTCAGTTCAGGGGGTCGAATGAGCCCCAAGAGTCTTAGCGGGACTTGCTGGAGGTCGCGCTCATGTGTTGACAGCTCGCTTTGCGTGTCGGTCGTTATGAGCTCAGCGTCAACGAGCACGAACGAGAATATCGTCTTGCTTGTCTTCGAACTTCCACCAATCGCCCTGGGTTTCTAGCGCTTCCTGCTTCGGGGGATGTACAGTTTTTCAGAAAATTTAGTCGGCCGAGCTTCGGCAAAATTTGAAGCCAACCCGGACGTGCTCAAAGGCCCAGAGGCAATGGGGACTTAAGCTCGCAGTTTTAGGGTTTAGGGAAGTTTAGGGGTTCGAGGTAGCTTTAGGGTTCTACAGCTTTTGTTAGGGCTTCCTTAGAAGGCTGAGGCAGATTGGCGGCCTCCGGTTGAGACTCTGAGGGACATCGAGGCATAAGCCACAAATTGGGTCATCAACTGGGACGCATCTGCTCGTCACAAGGGTGCCATAGGGCTCCAGTTACCTAAAAAGTAGGTTACTGGGGTACATAATATATGGTTAGTAACCCACTATTTAGGTAACTGGAGCCCTAGGGGTGGACAACCTTGCACAACAATGCCACTTCCCAAAAAAACCCAAAAGGCGACTTCTGGTCCCCGCGCACACAGAGACGAGAGAGAGAGAGAGAGAGAGAGAGAGAGAGAGCGAGAGAGAGAGAGACAGAGCTCCCCAACATCCCTCAAAACCCTAAACCCTTAAACCCTTTTTTTGTTGCACGAGGTCTCTCTGAAGTGCCTCCAGCAAGTGAATTAAGCCCCTCAACCCCAAAACCCTAAACCCTCAACCTCCAAGCCTCAACTGAAGGGGCTGAGGCCGAGGGTTGCGACCTATCCTAAGCAACCATAACTCAGGAAGCTTTCCCAAACGGCAAAACGGCGGAAGGCGCAGTCTCCTGTGAGTCGTGGAGGGAACCTCAGATTTCAATAGCAGCTTGGCAGCAATGAAGCTCTTAAGATTCTAGCTTCTGATTCACATGTCACGGTTCTGTGGTTGCTTGCCATGGTCATACCCATCAAGGCCAAAAACTAGGACCTGAGAGGTGAAATCGCACTGAGACGATTCAATGTGACGAGTGGTATGGGTGTTTATCCCGTTGCTGCTAGCCTGGTGGTTTTGCTTGTTGTTCCTGCCACGTTAAACCAGGTAAACCCCAAACCCAAAACCTCAGACAACAAAGAAGATCGAGAAGATCTCCCGGAAAGTGTGATTTCTCCCGTATTTCTATACTATAGAAACGACAGCTTTACGAGCACTGCTAGGTCTTGAAACTGATATTCAACCCTACAGCACCGAGCTGTAGCCGAGGCGGCGGTTTCGGATGGGGATACTGGAACTTCTCATAGACCCCTACCCTACACGGCCCTACACCGTAAGTAGCGGTGGGGTGCAAACTGCAGTACCTTGCAATATATCAGAGACATAATAAACACGCACCCCCATCGGGGCCTGTGTCTGTGCCGCAAGCGGTTGTCATTTGGGGGGGCAGGGGGCCTGGCAGTAGCGGCGACGATAGCGAAAGCGGGGAGGGCTGTGGACGTGGCGGTGTCTGCAGCCCGACAAGCTATTCTGAGGCACAATCGCGCAGCACTGCAATCATTACAAGATATTACAAGCAATAGACCCACATGACAGCCGAGCCCGAACTCCAACTGCCCAGTAGGTCGAGAGGACCTTAGAGTGGCCCGAACTAGGTGCACATAAGATTTATTGGCTAAGACTCTACACGCACACACGGAGTTTGCATTTTCACGCTCGGGTTAAGGGAATAAGGATCTTGGCTCGCGGTCGGCAGAGTGAGAAACAACGCAGTCCGCCAGACCGGCACCCACGCTATTTGCCGAGAGCAAACCCGACTGACCTACCAATTGTGCTACATCTCCTAACAGCAATATTCGCAAAGTGTGCGAATGGTGCCCTGTCCGTCCAAAACCTCCTACAGCTGTGTTAGAGTCGCACACTCTGGTTCCGCACTCTTGGAGAGTAGGTCATGCTCAGATCCGCTCCGAGCACACCTTCGTTGACGTTGGCCTCAAATAGCTCGAAGTTGAGGGTGTCGGCATAGTTTCGCAGCCTCTTGTTCCTGAGTTGCTGAATTCACAAGCGCAAGAAAGTGTAAACTTTCTGTTCCATATACTTGACACCAAAAAGTATAAACAAAAAGTGCACCCCTTCGGCTACTAAGGCTCTGATAGCCGCCCGAGGCCAGGCTGACGACGATACCGTTGAAGCCCATGCGGCCGCAACGACCCGCTCGGTGCGCATAGGTCGCGGCATCCCCCGGAAGCTCAAAATTCACCACGTGGGTTAGGTCCTTGAAATCGAGACCCCGCATCGCCGCGTCCGTGGAGACGAGGGCCTGCACCTGTGAGTTGTTCAAGAGAGCAAAAAAGACATGAACCCTTGAACCACAGATAATTTTTAGTATCCTGCTTCCTTCTTCTATGGCTAAGGCCCCCCAACACCCCCCCCCCTTCAAAAAAACGAAAAAACACCGGTGCGGGTCTCCCCTTTTTTTTGTAAACCCCCAACCTGTCCCTTGGCCACACGGTAGATGGCCATGTCACGAGCTTCCTTGGATCGGTTGCCCGTGAGGTACTCGGTGGGAATGCCCAGCTGCTTGTCCATCTGCTCTGCCACCTTGCGGACACGCTCATGGTTGTTGCAGAAGACGATGAAGCTGTTACAGACAGGGTCCGACGTGGAGAGGCGTCTGAGGAAGCTGAGCTTTTTGTCCACATCCGGAGCACCGTTCACGAGATGGAGAACTCGCTTCGGCAGCTCCATCCCATGTCTCGGCCCCACGAGCTTCCAGTTTTCCCTTAAGATGGTTTCTGCGAAATCCAATGCATTCCCCTCCATGGATCCACTCGCGGATACCAGAATCCGCTGGGCTTGCTCGTTGACGCCGATGTGCTGCAGAAGAAGCTGTAGGTGATCCTTACGCGACATGCTCAGGAGGGCATCGACTTCGTCAAAGACGATGGCATCCAGCTCACTGAGAATCAAACCTCAGCTTCACCGTCCAGGCCTGGAAAGTGCTAGAAACAAAGTCCTCTAGCGCAATAAGCCCTAACCCCTAAATCCAATAAGGGAAAACGTACAACCCTACTGTACGCCCTAAGTCCAATAAGGGAAACGTGACAAACAACAGTATACAAAATACCCTGAACCCTAAACCTAAACCCCAAACCCAAAATGCCCCCAAAGGCTTTCCCAGGGGCGGCCCTCCATGGAGTGGTCCATCAGCTTTCCAGGAGTGCCAACAACGACGACCGGTTGCCTCTTGGGTTTCTGGTGTTTTTTCCAAGGTTTTCGGATCAACCCTAAACCCGAAAAACCCTAAAGCCTATAAACCCCTTAAACCCTCAACTTTAAACCTGAAGCCCCAAAACCATACAAACACTAAACCTTAAACCCTAAACCCTGCAAACAATAAACCCCTATAAAGCCGGTTTAAGGCGCGCCTTTCCACGAGACGCTCATCCTGCCGCTTGTGGTTGTCCTTGCCCACTAAGAGCGTGACATTGAGCCTTGGGTTGAAGGCAGCTCATGGCTTCAGGGTTTTAGGGGTTTGGGGGTTTTAGGGGTTTTGGGGTTTAGGGTTTAAGGGTTTATAGGGTTTAGGGTTTAGGGCTTCGGGTTTATAGTAGTTCAGGGTTTAGGGGGCAGAGAATCAAGAGTCAGCTTTCCCATCATACGGTTATAGAAACATCCATGCACACATTGCATTCGCCCCAGACGTAAATTTGAAGTCAATTATAAGCTCTAAAGACTCACCCAAACCCTAAATCCTAAACTCCTAAACTCAAGCGAGAAGTGGCTGAGGGAAAGGCTTCAGAAGGTCGGCAATGACACGAGCAGTCTGCCTCGAGAGCTCGCGCCCGGGGGCCACCACGAGAATCTTCGGCTTGCTTAGAATCTTGGGCTGCAGGTGATGCGGCAAGTTCGAGCGATATTTTCGGAGGTCCTCTTGCCCGAGCGGGAAGACGAAGCGATGTAGAAGCGGGAGCAGAAAGGCTAAAGTTTTCCCAGATCCCGTCGTCGAGGTCAGCATCACGTCACTGCCCGAGAAAATGGCCGGCAAGGCCAAAGACTGCAGTCTGTTCGGCATCTTCACTCCGAAGTCCTGCAAGAGATCCATGACGGCGAGGCTCTCTGGGCTGTCCATACCTCTAGAGAGCTTACACTTTAAGGGTTGCTATGTCGGTTCCTAAGTAGAAAAGCAACACAAAAGACTCCGGGGGCGACTTTCGAACCGCTCCACCTAGCTCCTCCCAGCTTTGGTTCGCGGGGTCCAGCCAGCTAGTCTGCCCCTCCACGCGTTCCCAGGGAAGCGGGCCGTAGTTTCGCATCACGGCCTTGTACATCTTGCGGTACACGGAGGAGCCAACCCTATCTTCTGATCCCGATTCACCTCGTGGCAGCTTTGTCGAAGCCGGATCCTTCTCCTTTGGGACTCTGGTGTTCAAAAGCCAGGAACTTAACCTCTTCGGACGTCTGGATGCTGTCTTGTTCACGACATTTGCAACGCGTGGGGCCGTCTGAGTAGGAGGAGTCGGCTTCACTCGGGGCTTCCGCATGCGCTGCCTGAGAGGACGGCTCTTGAAAGGGTTGTAGTCTGGATCTGGGTCAGAGTCCTCCTCAGGTTTTTGCTCTTCTTCCGACTGCCATCTTCCAGCCCCACCCTCCTCGCGTGGAACGCGTGATCCGCGCCTTAGCTGGCGGCGATCGTTCCGCTTGGCATCCAGGCCCCACCGGAAGGAGGAACGTGCCTCGAGCTCCTCCACGGAAAGCGTCTGGAGGACCTGACGCTGGTCGAACTCCGTAGGATCCAGGCGTGGAAGATCGGCTCTCTGGAAGAATCCCTCGCGCCGGAACTTTGGGTGAAGCGCCACATTGCCCGGGGGCTTCCACCGACCTCTGCCACGGCCTCCGCGAGGCCTCTCAGGTCGGGTTTTGGAGCTCACGGTCAGCTCATCTGAAGTCAACTCGTCGAGGTCCGTCTCGCCCACAACCTCTGTATCATACAAGCCAACACCATCCTCGTCGAGAGGTCGCGCTGGAAGCCCCAGAGAGCCCACTAGGCGACCACGGCTCTGCAGCCTTAAAGCTGCCACAAAGGCATCTCCTGGGTTGTAGTTATATGGGGCCTCAAAAGTATCTATGAATAAGTACCTCTATAAGAACCACACAGGAACTTGTAAAGTTTCCCAAAGTGCCACCTAGTTTCCGCCATGCTGCCAGAGTAGCACAGCACCCGCCACCAGCAGGCAGCCTCGCAGCGGTCGTGACTCGTGCCGCCGTGGCCGCGAGCTTGAGGAGCTGCTTCCCTCGTACGAGCCGCACGTGGCCATGGGAAATGATGGGAAGTGTGAAATCCTTCAGCCGGACACTGACTCTTCAGGCACGGAGTTGCATATTGATGTTGACACTGGCTCAGGTGATCGTATGCAGACTGGAATACCTGGCGCATGGAATTTCGGGCTTTGCTGTGCGGCGCATGTAGATCTGTTCCGGGCACGCTCATTTAACGTGCATTATGAACATCATATGCCTCTGCCTGAGCCGTCGGAAACCCACAAAGCGTGGTCTCTATGTACGATGCACGCAACTGTTGCGTATCCGGAAATGCTGCTCGGTCACCGTTGCGCATCAATGCCCTCAGCCGCAGATGCCTGGGTCACAAAGACACAAATGCCAAAGAATCCCAAACCCATCGTCTCGGGATCTCACGACGAGCTCCCAGAGCTCAATTTCAAGAGGATTCCACACCCAAAGCTTCAAATCCCAAATCCGCGAAAGCTCGAAACTCCCGTGCACCCCAAGTCCTAGCACCCTACACTCTCTCTCTCTTTCTCTCTCTCTCCGTCTCTCTCTCTCTCTCTCTCTCTCTCTCGCTCTCTCGCTCTCTGACTGAGCTTCGATAATTCCTCAGAGGCAGCTTCGGAAAAGGGGAGGGCTTGGTCTTGTCTTGTTGGTTGCTTCTTTGTCGTTGCCACATTGCTAGTTTTCGCTGATCTTTGCGTAGGTCTTCGCGTTCTGCTGCGAGTTTACATTCAGTCTCTATGTGACTCTCTGTGCGCACCTGCTAGCCGAAGACGTCCTACGATAAGAAAGCAGGCATCTTCTGTGATGATAACCAGCGGGTAGCACCGAACACGTCAGGTTTCATTCAAGCTTGAACGAATTGGTGCCGAAACTGGGGTGAACACCTAGGACCTAGGAACAGAGACTGAAAGCCGGCAGAACAAAAACATAAGTTCGCTACGTATCTCTGCTGTCACTCCTTCAGTCATTCCTAGCTTCCTGGCTGCCCTTTGCTACCTGCCTTACTTCCAACCTTCCTTCCTTCTTCCCTCCTGCTTTCCTATCTATCTTCTGGTGCTTCCACACGCTTGCGTCTGCCTTTCCCACGCAGGCCCACACAAACCCGCTGCGGAATGGCTATAACATGAGGAGACCTTTGCAAACCCGAGCCAACAACTTACCGAAGCCGATGAAAAGTAGCTACCCTGAAGACGGTAGGCCCTGCACCATGAAGACCCCAAACATCCCCAAACTCTCAAATGCCAGCTCAACGTAGTCTAATTCTAGTTGGCTTGTCTGGACAGTGCGGAAGAAACCTGCGGCCCAACGTCGGCTAAGTCCAAAACCCACAGCCCTTAAATTGTAAAACCTCAAGGCCCTAGGCCCTAAACCCGATCATGACCATGACGCTTGCATAAACCCGTATCGGGCCTCGGTAAATACAGCCCTGAAACAACCCCGTTCAAAAGCCCTCAACCTCAAAACCCCCTACCCGAAATCCTAAACCTTAGTAAACCCTAACAAGACACACGCCAAAAGCCAAACACAACCTAAACACACACAAACACACAAACAAACAAACAAACACACACACACACACACAAAAAAAAAAAGGCTAACAACCCCAAACCCTAAACCCCTCAACCCCAAACCCTTAAACCCTAAACAAGCTGAAGGATTTGAGTTGCAAGGTGTAGCCGGCTCTCGCAAGAGCCGCCGAGGCCGCTTCGGCGACCAAGCTTTCAGCGACCTTCCAAAGCAGAGCTTCGGGTTACTATAAGTGGTTTAGGGTTTAGGGTTTAGGGCCTATAAGGGTTACTATGAGGGTTGCTCTAAAAAAGGTTATACTAGAATTAGAAGGGTTACTTTTAGGGTTACTAGAAGGGTTGCTATTAGGGTGAGGGGTTACTCTATAAGGCTTACTACAAGGGTTTAAGGTTTCGGCTTAGGGTGTAGGCTGCAGGGCTCGACCCTCCAAACAGAGCTTCAGGTTGTTCAGCTCGCCAAGATCTGTTCTGAAAGTCTGGGCTGAAGATTGTGGATGACTTTAGCTCTAAACCCTAAACCCCTTAACCGTAAACCCTAAACCCTGAACCCTTTAGGGGCTTGCGGCTTTCTCGTGAAAGGCGCCGGGCTTCCAGCTTGCCGGTACTCGATTTTCAGCATGCTCACTACACGATCGGGTGACTCTCATCAGTCCTGCACTCCCCGGTCACTCATCAACGTCATTCTCGTCACGATGCTCGTCAGTACTTTTATGCTAAGCAGATTAGCCACTATTGCGTTTAACCGTTTGCTCTTGATTCCTATGAGCAGGCTCGCTACTCTGCGTGTTGGAAAGAAGGCAACTCGTGCCGTACTTGCATCAATGTGTCTTTGAATCTTCACTTCATGAGGTGGAAGAGACTCATACATGGATCATGGCTGGCTTGTCGTGCTCGGTGGTGATGACAACGGCCATGCTGCTACTGCTACTGCTGCAGACCGCATTGTGGCCGCGATGGAGAAATGCCAAGCACTCTGCACTCCGACAGCCCGGAAGTCATCTGAAGCACCTTGCTTGCTTGCTCTCTCACGGTCCCTTACCCAGCCGAGTCTAAAGCCGCACGGGTGCAACGTACGGCCTGAATAACTTGAATAGGGTTCAGAAGTTCCGCGGGTATATTACAGAAATATGGGTAGTTCTCTAAAGTAGGGTACCTTCTACTGTCCTTTTTATAAGGGTGCCGTACCGTATTGGGGACCCTAAAAAACCCATCTGCTGAAGAATCCTGACGAGTGTTCAGCTACGGGAGCCTGCAAGGTGGAGTTCAACACCCCGTCCAGGTTCTCGTCGCCAGGACCCTCCTCGTGATGGCCTTTTTGGAAGGTCGTAATCCGGACGACTACTACTACTACTACTACCACCACCACCACCACCACCACCACCACCACCAGCACTACCACCACGACTACTACTACTACTACTACTACTACTACTAGTACTACTACTACTACTACTACTACTACTACGTACTACTACTACCACCACCACCACCTTTATTTCTACTACAACTATTGTAGATAAAATAAGCGTCATCGGAGATACTGGCATGAATATGAGGATAATGACCGTTGCTGTTCCTGCTGCAGATGTTGCTCTCTTTGTTGCTCAGCTCATTGTTGTTATCATTGCTTCTCACCGCAGCTCGTGTTTCTGTTTCGGCATTGGGCACCTGATTCAAATAAAACTCGGCCAACGTTTGCCCGGTTACCATTGTCATGGCGTACGATTGCTCGTATCGTCTCATACTCTGCTCTCCCGCTTGCAGATGTTTATCGTCTCGACCACTATAATACAGGTATCATCTGTATTTCGCGCCACTATGGAAATGTCTATTTAGCTTCTATATGTGAAATAATTACTGATTCGATGTTGCAGGTGCTACGATTACTCAAGTATGACACGTTCACGAAAAAGTACTAACACTACACGCTATTCCACACCTCACAGCCGACTGTCTCAAGTTCTGCTTCAGACAAGCGAAGTCGGAACAACTGAAGACGGATCTACTATGATCAAAAAAAGTCAGTCTCGGGCACAAGGCGAAACGAGGTCTCCAACTGCAACACCCCACTGACTCTTTCATTCAGGGATCCACTTGTCCTGTGAAGTTGGAGGTTTCCAAAACGGGACCGGAGCTTTACTGACTGCCCTTTTCTTTCTTGCAGCCATGTCGCCGATACCAGGGGAGCTCTCCTTGCCTTCGAGCAGTGGGGTGCTGTCCTGCGCTTGGTGCGAGCAGCTGCAGGCCAGGGGCCTTTTCGGCTTAGGGTTGAGGCTGAATGCTCTCACAACTCGGACAAGCTAGGAGGGTCTATCAGGATACGATTTTTTCACACACCCCGGATATGGGCTCCTTCCTCTACCCTTCATCCCCCCAACAGCTGGAACTAGCTGCTCTTTGCACGCCAAACCCAGGATGCACTGAACTTAAAATGCTAACCGCTGCCAACGATACCTCCTCACATCAGTCACAAGCATCTGCAAAACTGTTGTTCTACATTACACTCCTTACACCCAGAATGCTCCTGCAGCCTCAAACTTATGTCCTTCAAGCGCAACCGCTTCGTCCTTGAGCCTTCAGCCCCTCATCCCATAAGCAAGCGCAGCTCCCCCCAAACCTCCGAATTAACCTCTGAATGCAAACCCCCTAAGAAAAAACCGAACACCCTGAAACCCCTGAACCCCGAAATGCCTGCCTGTGGAACCCTCATAAGATAAGACGGTGATAAGAACGCCCCAAACCCTAAACCGTAAACCCCAAACTCGCCTCGCTCTTCGAGATTCGGTGCTTATTGTACAAATCCTTGGCTCCCAGTCGGTGTAGGGCTCATGGGTTTTCGGTGTTGGCTTGAAGGTGGATGGGTTACACGAAGGAGATGAGGAGATGAAATCACGGTGCAGGAGTGCAAGACTGCGGCCGGAAATGGTGTGCAAAATCAGCAGTTGGATCCCCAATACAGCCCTCAGTCATGTCCACTACCTCAACAAGTCACAATCAGACCTACCTACCAGTACCAAATCCCGAGCCTCATCCATTCCAAACGCTTTTCCAGGATCTCACGAGCACTCGCAGGACCGGCTTCATTCAAGCTGTTGCATCTTTGCGGGCGCTGTCAAACTGCACTACACTTTAGCACCGGATTCAACCAGCAATTGCCCGATCTCAGTGTGACCGCTTTCACGCGCATACATGAGAGCTGTCTTGCCGCAATGCTGCGATTTGATGTCAGCGCGTGCTTCAACTAGCAACCGCACAGCCTCGATGTGGCCAAGCTCAGATGCACTCATGAGAGCTGTCTTGAACCCCGCAGTCGCATCCACGTTGGCACGGGCTTCCGCAAGCACTCGCAAGACCTCCAGGTGGCCAAACTCGGACGCTATCACGAGAGCAGTCTTGTGCTTGGCAGTCGCATCCATGTCAGCACGGGCTTCCACGAGTAATCGCACAACTTCCACATGGTTAAGCTCCGATGCCAGCATAAGAGCAGTTTTGAAGCGCCACTTCGCACCTAAGTCCATGTTTGCACGAGCGTCTACCAGCAACCGCACAAGCGCAGCATGGCCCCTTTCCGATGCAAGCATGAGTGCTGTGTTGTAGTCCTGAGACTCGGAGACATCATCACCAGAGCGGGCTTCAAGAAGCAGTCTCACAAGCTCAATGTAGCTGTCGGAGTCGCTCATAAGAGCAGTCCTGCATGCGGCGGTGAGGTCCATGTGAGCGCGAGCCGCCAACAGCGAACGGACGTTCTCAAGGTTGCCTTTGGAAAATTCCCAAGTGAGCTCCTCTGCTACCTCTTGCTGGTTCCAAGGCCACAGCGACAGCTGCACATCACAGGGAGCAGTCAGCTCCATCGAACCACTCAGCCGACAGCTCTCCTTAAAAAGCTCTTGCTGGCACACTGGGAAGCCGTGGAGCAAACGCAAGTGGCGTTTCAAACCTTCCCCAGTTCTCACGCCGGGGAATTTCTGCATGTCCACTTGCGCCACCTGCTCCCCTGAAAGCCTCCAAACACGTATCATGTCGGCGCAAGTCCGGACCTGTCTGCATCAAGGTGAGCCAGAAATGTGCTACCACCGGCAGTATATGGGACTTGATGGACTGATGAGAAAGACACCGAAGATCCGAGTCCGTCCCAGCAAGCAGTGTCCGGCGACCTTTCAATACTCCTGCTGTTTGTTCTGCATGGTAACTGGCACCCTGACGTTGTATTTGTAATGATATGCTGATATGCAAAGTTCTCGAAAGCAACACGGAGTGCCAAATTCTGTACTGCTTTTGGTACCCCGTCTCAACCAACAAAAGGGATGCCGACATCGATGTGTTGATGACTGAAGCATTCTTAGCAGATGCTCGGGATGAAAGGCTCATGACAGCAGAGTCAGAGCTATGCCTAACCCACAGCAAACTATGCAGTACCTTTTCAGAAAGAATACCGGCTCAGGAAGTATTTGATGACTGTGGATGACACGCAGATTCATTTAAAGGCAGATGCAAAGACGCATCTAACGATTGACATGGAATGAAGGAACCGCTTCTTGGGATTCTGCGGTTACTGCTCAAGCAAACCGCGGCTGTGACAACACACTTAGACAGCACTTACCGTCATGGAGCTCCGCAGTAGTCTATTCCAGTCAACAACGAACCCGAAGATATCGGAAGGAGGCGGCGCAACCCCTTTATTCAAACATTCGCCTGCCGGGCTGGATAACCCTTGCCATCTACACAACCCTAAACCTCATCAAACCTAGGAGTCCGCTCCCTACGCTGCCCTAAAACCCTAAACTCTAAACCCGAATTCGGTTTAGGGTACGCAAAGCTGGCAAGAGTCTTTGAAGCTCGAGAAATCCAAGGTGTTCACCCCGTGAGGAGCCACCTGATTCGGGCTCACTTTCAAACATACTTAACATAACACCTGTTATGTGCTTTATGTTCCGTAGTACATCTTGTATCTTTACATTTGTACATATGCCATATACTATTCACTATATTACATATTTGATCTGGTATACTATCTGTCGTATATCACATGGAGGTTCAGGGTTTGGGTGTTCCAAGGTGTTGGGTTGCGGAACATCCCCACGACTCTTCTGAGGCGACCTCGGCTTGAAATGTCCCTTTCAAGGACCACAAGCACTGCAGACAAGACTCCGAAAGGATCCTAGTGGACTGTGCAAGTATGCAGGGCGACTTGGTTCCTACTTACGGCCTTGGAAGGTATCTCTGCTCTTCCTTCTGCCCCTAAATCGCATACTTACGGCTTTGTAAAGTATCTCTGTTCTTCCTTCTGCCCTTAGATGCGGGATAAGTCTTAATTAATGCGGCATTACAGCTGGCCAGCGCCACATCATGCAATTGTCTGCAGAGCCCGGGCTTTCTGAAAGGGTACTGAAAATGGCTATATATATATATATAGACATATATATATATTGATACATATTGATATATATTTAAATAAATAAATAAATAAACAAACAAATAAAATAAAATATTATATATACCCTATATTACATGATCACATCGCGGATACAGCAGCACGTGCTGGGGCCCTGTAGCTGAGGTTACTTAAGGATTCAGGGTCCTCGGGACTAGGTCTCGAAGAGGTTGGAAGGGACGCACAATCTGACTTATATAATTCTAAAGTCTCACATATACAAGGCATTATATATATATATACATATATACATATATATATGTATATGTATATGTTTGTGTATATATATATAATATGTATCTCTCTCTGTGTAATTATATAAGAGATGAGCCTGGGGGATCAGTCCGCGAGGCTTCGGTTCTCCGAGGCCGAGCCTCCTCCAAATCTTGCGTGGACTGCGCAGTGAAGAGGGCCGGTGAATCCTCACTATATAGGGTTTAGGGTTTAGGCTTGAGGGGTTTATTTGCCTCCCACCTTGCTAGGACGCTTGAGGGGTTTGGGGTTTGGGGTTTAGGGGTTTACGCTCTCAC